CTTTTATTTATTGTTTGATAACAACTAGTTGATGGAGTAAATGAAGGAGTTAATCAGTAGCTAATTTACAGCTTAACCACTAACAAGTAACAATCATTAGCAATATCATAATTAACATCAACCATATATTCTAACATAAATGCTATTATTCTATAAACACATGAAAGATTGGTTTATTCAGGTTTCATTTGCTGTTGCTAATTCAACTCAAAAGATAAGCTATAAGGTAAGGCCTGATAAAAACGAGATCAAAAAAGTATATACAGTACAAAAGACAGACCTTTTGGTCTTCAGCGAGTCGCCCATGGATGACACTCAGAGGTTCCATAGAGAAATGTAATAAGCATGCCACCTGAAAGATATGGTAAGAAAATATGACTTCTAATAGACTAAGTCATAATCTTGTCAAGCTGCCATTGTGTATGTAATTCATTAAATGGAGATACAAATAACAGTAACCCAAAAACTGCATTATTAACCTTCAAAGCTTTTATGAAAGATGTCAATGTCCCATCCTGGTTGATGAAGTAGTTTCGCAGAAAGAGTGCCACCTTATGACCAATATTAAACGTAGTACACTGTTTCACAAGAACAGCCTCAACAATTGCATCCATTTTCTCAGCTGGTGTTCCAAGCAAAAACTTAGATGAGCACAAACGCTCAAGAGCTTGTGACGGCAGAATGTTTCTGGTGTTATCCACTGTGGTTGTAACTCCAATTATCAACATGATTGGCACCTTGACAACCCATTCACTGTCAGAAAAAAAGAAGAAGAAGATGAAACAAAATATCATATCATCCAAGTAAGACTAACTAAGTTACAGTCTCCAAGTGTGAGTAAGAATACACAATAAACAAATGCACGGTGAGGCCTCAATCATAGTTAGCCCAAGCAATGGAATAACCCAAATAAATTATTCAAAATGCACAAAAGGTCAAGATCAAACCACATTAAAAATTACATGCAAAAACATACTTGCAGAAAATGTTTAAACATACCTCAACATCAGGATGAAATCAGTTAAGACTGATCCACAACATCTTTCCAAATCATTAATGATCAGCACTAGTGGTTTATTGTAGTGGTCTTGTTCTCTATACCATGATGCTAAGATTGATATATCAGCTGACTGATTGACAACAGCATTAAGAAAAGGAAAAAAGTAAAGGAGACAACAGAAGTAGATAAAATTGATCTTATAATACACAAGTTCAGAAGCACGCACATCAATAGCACCAGCTATAAACTCTCGCAATAAAGCTTTTAAGCAACCAGCAATCCCATTTTTTACTGAGAATTCTATTGATGAAAGCACAGCCACATGACATCCTTGGGATTTCAAGAAATGTCCAAGCTCTTCAAATGTCAATATGTCATCAACAAACTCTATGTTTCCTGCCGACACAATTCAACCAAGACTGTCTCAGAATTTTCTTTGTAAATATAAATGTCGTTTTCATCCCTCATACCTAGAAGAGTGTGTTGAAGTGATGAACAAAAGCAAGTCAGCTAAGCTGCCTGCTTATAGAACTAGTTTTAAACAGTTTGAAAGAATCAAAGCAATCAGAGGATTCACCAAAAAATGTGAATAAAGAAGCATACTGGTTATAACCAATGCAGTGAACAGTTTCCCAGGATTGGTATTGTTTAGAGCAGGAAAAGAACAAGTTGCTTCAGCGACACTAAGTTCTCCGATCAACGCAGTAGCATTGAAGCATTCCAAAACCCATTGTTGTATATCATTAAATACACTAGTATTGAGATCTCTCAAAACGTCCTGGAGTACAAAGAAGATTCTTCACTATTTTTCTTATTGGATCATACTGGTAAAAGAGAATGAAAAAAACTAAAAATTCTAATGCCTACATGAAGATACAGAAAACCCAAAAGCAGTATGTCATAAGACTGAAGCACAGGACCTTAATGGTAGATTCAATTTTTGTCCAAACATTGCCAAAAGCTTCAATCTTTAGTTGCTGAAATAAATGGTGATCACATTCTTCAATCGTACTTCCTTCCAGTTTCTTTGTGCTTTGTGGTGATGACAAAGATAACTCATTTCTCTTTCGCACTTTTCCCTGCCTTGTTGATGCTTTATCTTTTCTTTGAGATGATGCTTTGTGAAGAACAAAGAATGGCTATCGAAAGGAACACAAATGAGGATAAAATCAGCACTGCATCTGTAGTAGCTTGTAGATAAATTCAATCTAAGAGTAAAACCATCTTCAACATATAGCACTCGTACTTTTCTATCTTCTCCCAAATTAGACTAATATTGACCAATAGGCATCATGGACATTAAAATAGAGCTCAGCCACAAGACAACATACCCTTTTGGATTGTTTCACACGAATCTAGGAAGGCGGATAATATTGTTCGTATCATTTTTAAATCTGCAAGCTATCAAATGTAGTTTTTTCAAAATTGTCCTTCGTTAATATTCTTGTTCATGTTCTATTTTCATGATTTAGTCTTTCCAATCAATTAGTGTAACAGTATTTTGGGAACAAGTCTACATAAATCTTTGAAAAATAGTCATATAAAAAAGGACCAAAACTAAAACCCAAAAATATCTTATAAAAAGAGAGGTATTAGTATAATTTCATTCGGGGGCATTCCTCTTGTATTTTAAAATTAGTCAAAATGCAATATACATATTTTTAAATTACAATTAAAAAACAATTCCAACTTCAGATTCTAAACAAATGCACAAAAAATCAACCTAGATAGAAGTTCAACGAGCAACATTGAGGAATGTAGATTATGAGAGTTAGTGATGATGTGAAAAAAGAGAACCTGAAGATCATTGTCTGAATTTACGGGTGTTGATGATGGAGACAGTGTATCAGCGACGCTGGGGGAAGAAGGAGCCATGCGATGCGATGAAGAGAGAGATAGGTTTCAGGTATCTATGTTTATGGCGGGAAATCACAAGGGTCACTTGGAAATTAGTAAAGAAACAAGTCAATTTTCATCACAAAAATAACTATTTTAATAATATTATTAACAGATTTTAAAGAAAGTTGTTAGGTTCACAAATAAACAAATTTTATTATGAAGATGTGTGATAGTTTAAATAGGAGATACACTTCTTAATTGATTTTGGAGTTTTGCTTATTAACAAATATTAATTGAAAAATATATTTATTTTGTTTCATATATTTTGATGTTTAATATCATGTACATAATTAAATAAATTATTAAAATATAAATTTTTTATGCAACTTGACTAAATAACCTTATTCAAATTACTTTGAAAATTGAACTAAAAAAATGAATAAACCAGAAGTGAAAATATGAATAATAAATAAGCTAGATTCGCAATAATATGAAAATTTTAAAAACGAATATAAAGTGTTGAAATTTTGAGAAATGTCCATGCTTCATTTTTTTGAAAATATTGGAAACGATATTTTTTTTATTTTCAAAGTTTACAAAAAAGGGGTGTTATGTTTTCTAAAAATTAAGATTGAAAACATCAATACAATCACATTTTCAATATTTTGTAAGTTGATTTAAAATGAAAATGGGAAATGACAAAAAAAAAACACCCTAAAATATCACAATATACGAGAGCATTCCCAACAATCTTCTATACTAGATTCTTAATTTTTAAGTACTACTTTTGAGTGTAGTTCACTAATAAATAATTTGCCTTTAAATAAAAAACTAGATTAATGAAAGTGTACAATGTGATGAAAGTATCACATTTATCTAAGGACTATAATATCTATCCATAATTACTATAAAAAAACTATATATAATTACTACATTATTCATAATTCATTTAGATTTCTTTTTTGTTGAGTCAATTATAATTTCTTTTATTAAAGAGTAAATTACTTTTGGCTTTTTCTGATGATCCAATGGTTTTACATCAGTATACTAACTCATTGTTTCTATGTAATATATGATTTACTTATTTATTTTCCACAAATGTGAAGAAAAAATTATGAGAAAAAAGTGTATATAGTGATGGTATAAGAGTTTTATTTTCCACTGTCATCGTTTATTATTCAAAAAGTAATTGAAATGAATGTTGAGTAATACATAAATCTTTATATTACCCGTACATATATATTACACTAAAGAAAATGGGATTAAACAACTAAACTATAAATATCCAAAAAAAAAAATGAGATACAATTTGTCATATATATATATATATGGGACCATAAAAATGAGGCGAAAAACATATGTCTAGTGTATCACTTTATATAACACTGATAGGTTAAAAGATAATTAATTAATAAATTTTTAATTTAAATATATTTTTTCAAACGATCAGACTGATAGAATGATTAGGAATGGCAACGCGCACGGGCGGACATGAGTAATGCATACTCGTACCCATACTCGCACTATTTTGTGGATAGCGGCTACTCAATGAGTTTCCAATTTTAATTATATTTTTATATAGTTTACAATAATTAATCTATAAAAATAATTTTTACTTAAATAATATAATATGTATATGATAATTTCATGATTATAGTTTCATTACTAAATTTTATTATAAATTAATAATAAAATAAAAAATATAATGTTAAATTAATAATAACTAAGTATAAAATATTTAATTAAAATATATAGCGAATAACTACGGGAAAGGTATTATGATACTCATTTCCACATATGAGCTATTTTTGTGGGTAACTATTACATGTATTTTAAGGAGTACTCACGAGTGTATTTTTATCATATTTTTTTTGGGAGATAATATAAGTGTCTCGTGAACTGAACATTGGAAGTATGGAACCGTGAATAATAGATGTCGTTGGAAGTAATTTTGGGCTTAGAACAAAGTTGGGCTTTAACTGAACACGCAACTGAAGAAAGAAAGGTCACCCATGAGAATTAGGGTTTCATTGTTGTGTATTTAACACAAGCCGTTTTCACTACTTCTTCCCTTCATTTTTTCTTCATCGCCTTCATTTTGATCCCTACTTTTCTCCATTTTCATTCTCCATTTTTTTTTATCATTACTATTATCTGCGTTGGCCTGTGATGTTCAAATTGTCCGTACCATCTGAGATTAAGCTTTTTCACAATCGCTCTGATGCATACGTTAATTATTTATTCTGAGGCTACCTTACTCTCTTTTCTTTTTGTTTATGGAATTTTTTATGTAACTTGAAAGGCAACAATTTAGAGTCTCTGATTCACTTTTTTCATAGTGATTTCAGTGCTGTACGTTGCCGATAGTAATTTGGACCTGAGATTCTGTCATTATTCTACTTAGATTAATGCATTCTTATGTTCCTATATTTTATCTTATATTATAAATGTTGTTGAATCCTTCTTTTCATGGGCTGTGATGAGGCATAGAGATAGTCATGCACCACTCTGATTTTTAGTGCTGAAAATTTTCTCATACCCATTTTTCTGAGCCCCATTTGTTTTTTAGTTATTTTTTTTAAAATTATTGTAATTGTTTTACATATTGGATTGAAAACTAACAGAAGCGAGGAGCCAAATGATGCGGGTTTTAAACCCAACCATGATGCGGACCGTAAAGCTATTGCAGCATTTGTGGATAAATTTATGGTTTCTGATGGTTCCTCAAATTTTTTATAACCAATTCATTAATTCCATAAACATTATAGCATCTATGGTCTCTATCATAAATCAAAAGTGTTGCTCAATAAAAAACCCACAGAATTGAGTTATCTTGTATAGGTTATTATCATTATAGAATTGAATTAAATCTTGGGTATATTGTCTGTGAAACTAATCCCCTTAAAGGAAATTTACAATTATGATACAGAACAAGGGATACCATGTCATGTTGTAGAGTGGATTCCATCTCTGTTTCCTATTAACATTGAACATATAAGACACCTTGTACATCTAATTATCTTATCCTTAACTTAACATCGCTCATAGCTATGGACACAGTTCTGATAAGTTAAATTCTGTCTGAAATCATGACTTGCAATTTTTTTTAAGGATGAAGGCGTATTCTACTCATTTGAATATCACCACAATTAACTATCGAATGGTATGTTCAGAAAGACGAAAGGCTTTATATTGAAGATGAAAATGACACGGAAATGAGTGAACTTGAAAGAATTATCTTCAGTAGTTTTTTAATAGTGAGTATTATTCTTTGCTTTAGTAATGAGTAAAGTTGAAAGAATTAGACATTTTGTTGTAGAGTTTGGGAAAAAGCCGTGGAAAATGACAAAGGACGGAACAAATCTAGTATGATATGGGTTTTCCACAGAAAAATCCCATGATGTATTTCATTTGTGTTATAAGGCTAGACTATATTTACTAATATTGTGAGTTGTTTATAGAACCACTAAACATTCTTCCTTTTGTAACCTAATGGACCCTTGACAATATTTCATTCTGAATTAAAAAGGATGCTGAATAAATTTTGGACTCTGTTCATTATTTAATTGATTGCTGTATTCCTATGAAGAACTTAGAACTTTTGTTTAATTTGGGTTGGTTTGATGAATAAAACGTTGATTAATGCTATCATTCTTGACATGTTGGGTGCAGTTAAAATTGAAATTATTGTTGACAGAGAATGAAACAAATATACACAGATGTAACATCGTATTCTCACACATTAACAATGGCTCCATCATGTGGTGCAACTATAAAATACACCATCGAAAAAGGCTTCAAATTGAGTTCTGTTAACAATGTTAGTCATAGCAGGTCTTGAATAGACCAGGAACTGTGTTTAATGATACCTTCCAGGTTTGGTGTGTTTATCTATTTAAGGTACTTGAATGGACTGGTAACAATGTTAGTCATATCTCGCCCTTCACGCGAGGGTACTTTGATGTCTTTCTATTTTCACTAAATTGGAAATTTTCAATGAAACTATATCTTTTCAATTTTCCATTTGTGCTTATACTTTTTTATTTGCACACTCCTCTTGTGATACATCATTAGTTTATAGTTCAAATATTTTATTTAATTTGTTATATGATATTATATTAATTATATAAGAGTGTTAGCAATATTAACTAAAGTCTTAAAAGTGAATCATAGTAATTCATACCACATAATCTTACAGTCTTACAAATCTCAGGGATCATGATGCACTAATCTATCTCATCTCGTGAAAGGATTCACATTAAAAAATAGAATAATAATAATGTGTTGAACAATAAGTCTAATATCAATTATTATTTTTATGCGTTATTTATGTCCAAGTATTTTCCAATACCTGTTTCAGCCAAAAAGATTAAATGATGCTAAAAATTTATTCAAAATGAGATGGATAGTAGGAAGGATTCCTAAGGAAGTACATTAAGTTGTTTTGGGATGAAAGTCCCATTTGTATTTTTTAGGCAGCATTATGAATAAAGTTTGAAAAGTTTCTATCAGACTCATGATCAATTTTTTATAGATATGGAACATCATTATTGACATCTATCAACAAAACTTTGTTATTATATCGATAATAATAACATAATTGAACCGATTAAAATCCACATTAAATGATGATGATGATAAAGCTTAATTAGCCATGCAATCCCCACGCGCACCTTTCCCACGTGTTCACAACAACGCTTTCGCACGCAACTAAACCATTCGTTTGTGACTTTGCGTAACTTATTTCAAAAATTAAATTATAAAATGGTGAAAAAAAAGAAAAAGAATCTTACCCATATAAATAAAAGAATTGTATGCTTATATCTACAAAGTTTGAAACCCAATGAAATTAGTTCCTATCACAAAAAACCGTTTCCGAGATTTAAGATTTCACCGATTCAGATCATTGAGAGAGAATTTTTGATGTGTTGAAGCACCATTTATGATTAATTAAGAATAAAAATTATTACTATTATTCATAAATGCAAATCAGATCCTCTGTAATTTCAATTTCCATATCTTGTTCACTTTGAATTCATCCGCACTTTTTCCTATGCAATGGCTGAACGCGACGTAGTTTTGAAGGAAGAGGACCAAGAGGTACATGTCCTCAATTCATCCGTAGTCACGATTCTTATTTTTCTGAATTCTATTTTTATATAATTATTATGCACGGAATTTGTATTGTTTTTGTTGTTGTTGTTGTTGTTGTTAGATTATGAAAGCGTTTTCAGCAATTTGGTACTTATTCTGATAGGTTAAGCTAATTCAGTGTTTGTGAGTTAGGGTTTGATTTTGTCACTTGAACGGTTTTCAGGATTGGGAGGATTTATTTTCCGTATTTTTATTTGATCATTAGCTCCCTATATTTACCTTACCACCACTTATAGGTTTTGCTAATGTTCAATTAATGATTTAGATTTTAGGGTTTTCGTAGAAGCACTTTGTGGATTAATATTTGGCATTTGCAGTGTTTTTTGTTGGACAAGTTAAGGTGATAATTGTTGATATACTTAGGAATTACTTTCTAAATGACTTCAGTATTGAGAGAACATATCCTAAGAGTCACACAAGTTGTTAGAGCTGCAGGGCATAAAGTTTGAGCACATGTGTTCAAACTCCGGCAGTTGCACAGTTCTCTCCCTCCCCATGCCTTAAATTTTATTGTCTATAAAAAAGTATTGAGGGAACATGATGAGATAGCAGGGTATTCATAATCTGTCTTTGTTCTCCTCGTACTTGCAATCCTTTTTTATTATATTACTGGTTAAACGGTTGAAATAGCAACCACATTTGGATTAGATTGTTGCCTGATAAATTTGTTCTTTCTAAATTGTTCTCTTCTTATTGCCAGATGTGACAATTGAATGCTTTGAATTTTTGCACAAGTGGCTTTATGTATTTTGACTACCTTAAATTAAATGCTCACATTTTGGTGAATAACAATGAGAAATAGTTACCTTGAGTGCTTTTGAACTTCAGTCGCTGATCATATCAGCTCTATTTTATATTTTATCCAGTACGTACTATTGATATGCCATCCTCTCCAAGAGTTAATGTAATGAAATATAGAAATTAGAAGTAACCAAATTTCTTTAATTTATGGTTGAAATTAAGGACCTAACTTGATATATATATATAGATGTAAATAAAGATGTTGAGGAACATTTTTGTCAAGTTAAGGACCTAACTTGATTTATATGTATATTGTCCTCTCCATATCTGGTTATTTTAATGAACAGGGTAAATAATAAAGTTTATGCTTTTTTTCGTGGTTCACATTAATTTGTTTGCATAATTTCAGAAACTTGTCCTTAGTTGAGCTAAAAAGTTTAGCCTTCTCTTTTAAATATACTTTCTATTCACACTGATCGTATTCAAGCCTTCAAGGTAGCTAGCTAGACACGAAAAAGTCTGCTATGACAGGACTTTAGTTCAGGTTCAGTTAGAGGTTTCATTCTTCCATCTGTTTAAAGGAGAGCTTATTAATAGGAAAGTACGGGTATTGACCCAAAAGCATGTTCGAGAAAGAAATCCCTCAATAATCAGCTGACATCCAAAAGCCTAAAAACAAGGACCCATATTTATAAAAGTAGCTGGTGTAAGAATTGTAGGCATAAATTCTAGAATCACAATTCAAATACACTTTCTTTTGGTGTCGAAAACCTTGTACATGATTGGACAATGTCTGGTGCAGATTTGGCTTATGATATGCCATAAATATCCACCTAAACCCAATATGGAAAAAGAAGGATACTCATAACTCAATTTAAATGTTATGTTAGACGCATTACCAAAAAAAACAATGTTAGACAGAAAGAATTGGGTATTGTCTGACATGGCTTTTTTGCTTGTGGTAAATCATTTGTGTTAGCCCTATATAGTAATGCAGTTGAAGTGTAAAAGTTTTAGCCTTGTACAAAGAATTAGCAACAGCTAAATTTTGATTTGTGGGAGTTTCATGTTTTCTAATGTAGGCTTTGTTTATATTAGGTACCACCTGAATATGGAAGGGAGTTTGTCAAGCATTCTATAATTCAAAACACTGATATGAGACTCGAATCAGGGACTTGTAACGTGTGCGCAGCTCCTTGTTCATCTTGCATGCATCTTAACCGAGCTCTCATGGGGTCAAAGGCTGAAGAATCCTCTGATGAAAACCGTCGCCGAGGAGAGGCTAATCAGTATTCTACGGATGATGGTGATGGATCTTCTCTTAGGAGCAGAGTTTGTGAAAGATTGAAGTCTTGTGTCAATGAAACCAGTAACATAATTCTTGTTGATTCAACTCATGATTCTCTATCTGAAAATGCCGACAGTAGACGAGCCTTGTCAAATAAGTATCAGGAATCCAAGTGTTCGGAAGGTTTTGATGACAATGCTTCTTCTACCAGAAGACCCAGTAAAATTGCAAATGGTAGCCATAAAACAAATGACAGAATAACTATATCCTATAGTTCAGCTTCCATTAGTCACTTAGGGGCAGAAGGATCTGGAAGTGGGCCATCTGTTGACTTGCCTGAGATTCTCTCTTCTAACGATGCAGATATCCTGG